CCTCCTTTCTTCTTTGACAGGGAAGCACCAAAATACCCGTTTACTCATGTTCGCTCGTCCACTCAGGGATCCGTAACTTATCACGACAACGGGGCGCTGCCCGGGAAAGAGCCGCTCACTGCCACAATTTCCAGGTGCCGGGCTGAAACCAGGAATTATTTTCCAGGCGCGACCTGGGAAAGAGCCGTAACCCCGGCTGTCCCCAGGTGCCGCCTGGGGAAAGGGCTGCGCGCCCACCCTAGTAGCGCCATGCACGTACTACGCGCATTGAATGCACTAAATGCGCATTAAAATGCGCGTAAAAGGTAAAACATTTTCGGCGCATTAAATGCGCGTTATGCGCATTCGCGTAATGCGCATTAATGCGCATTAAATGCGCGTTATGCGCATTTAATGCGCCGAAAATGCTTTACCTTTTACGCGCATTTTAATGCGCATTAGCACGCATTAGTGCACTCGGCGCTACTAGGGCAGGCGGCACCTGGGAATGTCTTGGCGCGTACCTGGAAACAGCAAAACGTACCTGGGAATCCTAGGTTCTACATTTACCGTGACACCTGTGGCGTTTTCCTTGGCTAGGCGCTTGCTTCCTACCCTAGTAGCATAGTGATTTCCGTTTCCTTGTTCGCCGTTTCGACGTCGAATCAATTTGTCATTTCTCACTGGTTTCTAGCCAAAGTAATGTAATGCGACGTCATTTTAAGCTTTTGACTAAAATTTGGATTTTCCGGATAGGAACTTTGACGTTCGAATGACGTTCCGTGACCTCAGTTTGACTTGGAGTTTTCCTTGGGAGGTATTTCTTTCCTTCAAAGCGCTGAGGTTGCAGGGCGACGTACTGTTGGTAGTGATGCTGTACAGGGGCGTGGAGGACCGCCTGGCTGGCCTGGCTCTGCACTCCGACGCCTAGCGCCAACGTTACTTGCAGCACCCTGCGCGTTGCGCTGCAGCTGGCGCTGTCCTCGCAGCTCGGCGGAGCTCGGGATGGACCTGGCCTACCAGTGAGAAATGCACTTTCATGCGATTTCTAGTTGATATCAGAACGATATCAGAGTTTCTGACTCACAAGGAATACGATAGTTGGCCCGAAATTGACTCGTTTCTGATTCCGATATCGTGCTGATATCAATGAGGTATGTTACGAAAATGAAGAAGAGGAGGAAATCAGGCAGACGTCTGCTCCCGGGCATAACAAACCGCACGGTTTCACGCATATCTCCGCTAATACTGAAAAGAAGACTTAAGTGTTCTATGTCATTTAAACGAGGAGCATCTCTACAATCCGATACGCGAGAAACCGTGAGGGTACGCGCCAATGACCTGCGCTTTGTTATGGTGCGGGAGCAGACGCCAGCCTGATTTCCTTCTCTTCTTCTTTTTCGTAAAACACCTCATTCGATATACGCATTTCGAACTCTGGGCTTGATAAGCTATATTCAATTAAGATCCAGCGCACGCTCGGCGCAGGGCACCCTGCTGCAAGCGTGCGAGGGCGAGACAGGAGGCGGGGGTGAGGAGTCGCCGCCCCGCTCGCTGCCCCTCGCATGCTACCCGCGCGCCGCGCCAAGCTTAGCGCGCGCTTGGGGGCGCGTGCACCACGACCCTGTGCAGGTAGTTTCAAAACTCTTAAGGTGACAGGCCGAGTATCCGGAGGGCCCGGGCGCCCTGTCAGGCGCTCTGGAGCAAGTCCAGCCCAAGACAAGATGCCTTCCGGGGGGCAACCGGTGAGTAGCCGGGGGATAGCCGGGGATACGCGAGGAATAACCGACATAAACCGGGGAATACCCGGGGTACGCACCCATGCCCATGGCGGATCCAGACCCATATGGCGGTCTGCGACTGAGAGAAGGGTTCCCCCTTTGATGGCAAATGCAGTAGAAAGCCAGTATAGTGCTTCCCCGGCCCTTCCCCGTACTCTCCAAGTCCCTTGCCCGGGGCAGGCATAGCGGCTGGCTCTGAACGATATCGCTGATGTAACCTATCCCTGTTTGCAGAGTTCCCTCACAATGTCATTGAGCTCAGGAGATTAGGTGAGAACTGAGTGAGTATGAACTACCTTCCACTAATAATAATAGTTACAAGTATCGCGGGGGGGGG